CATCCAATGAGCGCTTACTCAACTCGCATGACAGCGTACTTTGATAGGCATTCAGAACAACTGACTTCGCCAATTGGCTGGTGTCAATGCGCTCACAACGTCGTCGTGGGCATACGCCAAAGCGTATCCGAATGTCAGCACATACAAGTGCATGGTCGGTGTCCACACATGTGCTCCAAATCGAGCGACAGGTCTGGACGCAGCCTCTCGATCGGTAACTTATCGCAATGTGATCGATTTGCATCCAAGGCTGGTGGGCGCCAAGTCACCCTCCGGCGAGTGTTGTGTCGGAAATTAGTGCTCGCAAGAAATAAGCGAGCATCTTCACACAAATGAAGTAACCGCTCACCGTTATCATTACGGGAGCCTACACCATGTTGGCCGCCCAGATGCAGTTCATCAGTGGACAACTTTCCAACTTGAGCGCTCAGATCCCCAACCAGCACAACAGTGTTCGAGCTTCTTCTGTGGCGAAGGAGCTCGTTCAATTGACGATAGAAGTCGTCTTTTACCGAGTCATCGCTAGAGTTTGTCGGTGCATAGTCAGCGATAACGAACAGACACCTGTTAGTCCCACACTACTTCGAAGCTTTGAGCGAGCCAGACAATCGGACCGCACACATCCGGCTACCGATTGGAATTCAGTCAACCAGAGTAGCTTTAGCTCAGAGACTCAGGGCGATACTAACACCGGCTTGGTCGGTGCTCGCAGCTGCATCGGCACCGGATAGGCGCAATGAGAAAGTGCTGGTGTCACCTGAGGAGGATCGCAGAATGAGCACAGAGTTCAAGTCTTGCAAGCGGATCTCCGATAAGCAGCAGATATCGATCGAGAGGGTCTCGAATGTTGGGCAAGTGCTGCCTGTTGACCGATCTGTAGCAATGTGCGTACATTGAGGTATGCCAATCTGAAGGATGATCGACGGCTCCAAATGGAAGTCGATGAACTGAAGTGGATCGCTTGGTTGGACATGGGCTTGTCGACAGGACAGGAATGACCCACCGCATTTACATGTGATTTGAAACTAGAAGGTAAAAGCCTAGCAAAACAAGGTGGGGAGGGTCAAGAATTGGGGGGTTGAAAACTGGGGAGATAAAAGTGAAGTTGGAACGGACGGTAAGAGAGAAAAAGCGTGAGAGGGGGAATAAGAAGATGGGAAGCCTTGAGCAGCAGCATCAAAACCCCTATCTACCTTGCTCGATGCAGCAGCTAGGGCACCGTTGATTATCCTCTGCGGTGGCCAACGCATCAAGTAACTTTTTGAAGAGAAATTTATTGTATTGCGTGAGCAGGATACTGTCAGTTTGCTCAGGCCTAGACGAGAGAACGATTAGAGTTCTCAACCAAAGTCTTTAGTTCAAGAAGCTGACCGCAAGGCAGCGGGTTGGGCGTTGGGCTAAAAAGAGTCCGTTTTAAGGAATAAGGAGCCACCTCATTCCAACCCCCAACTTGGAGGACCAGGAGGCTGAGTTTGTCTGGCCTTTAACCATTGACCAATCTGGTGTGAGTGGCTTTGAAGGTGCAAAAAAAGCACCACCCAGCATAGCTTAATGGATCGCTGAGGCACACAAACCATCGCACCACGGTAATGTCCGGAATCATTGCGATGGGGCCGATCAACGACATTTGGTATAGCAAGTTCCGAGCGGTGAATTGTGAATTCGATGAGCAACGTAAGAACATCAGTTAGAAAAGTAGCAGAGGTAAGAGAATAAGCGTGCCTAGACGGTTGCATTATCAAAACGTGTAGGTGCGCCACTCCCCCCTTCGCTGGTATATCGAACACAGTAAATCGATGACAACTGGGTTAGGATGAGCCGGAGAGCAATTCTCATCTAGTTGTCGCCGGGTGCATAGAGATGAGAGTTTGCAATGAGGAGCCGCGAGGAGAGCACAGCTCTTGTGATGTATGCACAGTTGAAGTTAATCTATATTCCCGGCACGAAAAGCCGAAACTTTGTTAAAGAATTTTAGGTGTCCTGATTCTGATGAAAGACCCACTTGAACGTGCAGATCTCACGCAACGAGAAAAACGCAAATCAGGCTGATTAACCAGAGAAAAGTGGGGGGCGTGTTAACAGAACAGATTCGATGGCCTGCGGCTATTGTGGTTACCATCCTACACCGAAAAGGCGCAAAATGCTTACGTTCTGAAATGTCAAATGTAATAACTTAAACTGAGTCTCACGGAGAAGCAATGCATATGCGGATTTCCACCAAGATTCGTTTAAGCGCACATGTGCTTAGTGAGCTTCAGACACCAAATAGACCCAAGGAAATGAATAATGCATCAAAAAAGAGCAAGTTGTGTATGAATTCTCATCAGGATCCGAGATAGGAAATATACGATGCATCGTGTATCAATTGTTCTGCATGTGAAGCTGAACCAAAATATATGCGTTTTTCAACAAAGTCCGAAATCAGAGAAAAGTTTGAGCGCTGGTCGACATAACGGGAGTGGAATGTCTAGCATGAGTTGAGCTAATAATCCCCGAAAAATGCCGACCCAACAACACACCCAGTTTAGAGGGGGTGGATATCGTCGACCTTTATTTAACATGCAAGATACAACTAGGACCAGTTTCCGATCATTGCCCTCTATAGTGTAAGCAACCCCTGAATTCGTAAAAACTGCACCCAATGAGCCAAGGAAGCATGCAAGCGATTGTGTTCGGTAACAGTTTAGTTACATGCAAAGAATCAGTAGAGGAGTCGGATAGTGGTTCGCTCGACATGCCGGAATTTACTCTGATTCAGCAACAGATAAGAGACATAGGTGTGTGGTCTAAGTGAGTAAGGGAATTCATAGGAAAAGTTATGGATTACCTTTGTGACTCATCCGAAGCATGGCGGTCCAAGAAGCGTTCCAATTGTTCCAACCTCAGTTCAACGTAACGAACATGTAAGCGGGTCAATGAAGCTAAGTCCGGTGGTACTCGAAGTCTAAGAATATCGAAAGAGAGGACAACATCCGTTAAATCCCAATGGTCCACCGGTTCCTCGATGTTAGTCAGACACTCTTTCGGATGGGATAACGTCCTTGGAAAACTGTCACGCACACAATCGTATAAATACACAAAGTCAGCGGCGAACTTGTTAGACCTAGAAGTAACGAGAGAGAATTCAGTTTGGCTAATGAGTGAGAAGATTCAATATCTCAAGAATAATTATAGAGGATCGATAAAGCAAATAAACCTCACACAAGAATTTCCTCTTAAAAACTTGCGGCTGAGACCCCCTAAGAAGAAAGCATTCATCAAGGTTCCATTCAATGCGGACTAAAATGACAAGTGTTCCCGATATCGTCTCCGCTTGTCCATTAAGAAATGCCGTTACGCAGCCGAGCTATTACACCAAGGTAAAACCTTGCGTTGCAAATTCAACGTGGACAGAAACTAAAGTCACAGCTCCTTGCGGCTACCTTTTTCAATGTACCTGCGGTAGTAAGCACGTGGGTCGAACTAAGAGGAGGCTATCCACATGGATTTCAGAGCACGTCCATGTAACCTGATGGCAAACGGCCAAAGTCCAACCGCTATATTTCCCGATAAAAATCTCATTGTGCAAGGTGCCAATATCTGCGGGAATATTTCAGGAGCAGTAATCGACAGAGCACTGCTCGCCTGCCTTAGCGTGCGGACACCACAGCAGCACCTTGGCTTAAATAGGGGGTTCATGTGGACAGACGGAGTTTGTGACTACTCTCGCATTGCTCTGAGGAAATTATCGAATACTTTCATCAAAACAGAACGATGTGCGTAACATACTGATTCTGTAGGCTGTCTACAAAGAGCTTATGAGAAAACGCTTACTATCTGAATTAAATTATTTTGTTGAAATGTTAACATTCTTGCTATTTGGAAACGACAAAAACCGTTGAAAGTCGATGGGGCTCAATTGTCAATCAACGATGAAATTAGATGCATCATGAGCACAGCATCAACAATTTCGTAGCTCGGTCTTCTGAGCTGACCAATAGCGTGTTCCAAACGACTTTAACAGGATAGAACTAGCTGATGCACCAGAGTGCCAACAAGTGCTAAAAAAACAAGACAAAAGTGTGAATTTGAGAAATGCTGATGGAAGGAAGTTCCGACAAAGCAGAATGTGACAGGCGAATGTCGTACTCACCAAGCTATTGACGATAGTTGGCCAAGTTGTAGAAGTAGAGCGATTGAAAAAGTAATGATGTTTGGTGTGGTTTCGTTCAAAGAGATGAGAAACTGGGAGACACTGTCTTCGGACCAGACTTCGGCTGTTGCAGATTCAGCTAAACGAAGGTTATCGGAATATAACAAAAAAAGTGAACAAGAAAAGATAGGGAGAATGGCAAGTCGGAAAACGATACACAAACTTCTGAAAGTACTAGCTCGGGACGCGCTGTAAACAACAGAGAGTGTGGAGAATAACAACGCCTTCTTACTAACAGGAGTAAAATCAGTGATCAAATACAAGAAATAAAGTCAATGCAAACAGTACCGATGTTTTTCAGTTGGTAGAGAGGAGAAAACGGAAGCGGAACCGAAAGTGAAAAGCAGAAGACAATGCACACAGTGGAGGATAAAACCAAAAAGAAAAGGAATCGTGCAATTTAATTTTCTACAGGTATATTTCGCATCACAACCATGGCAAACAGTGCGCTTGTCTGCGTTGAGTAAGAGGCAAGCGGGCATAAGTATTAAATTTCATAGTTCTATGCGGGCGAAGCCCACAAACGCTGTGATTTTGCACCGAACCCACAGATGTAACCGCTTGCTCAGTGTGAAACACAAACCATATATTTTGCTGTAATCATGAGTAGGGGATTTTGATATAAGTAGTTAAGGGTTCGTCGCAGTCCACATATCACAGTGCAACACAGTCAGCCAAACCAGTTGCCGGTGCTTGAGTGCCACTGAAGTGAAATATGAGTGTGAATTAAAATGCACGAAGGTTGATGACGTTACTGACAATTTATGAGTAGGTCACTTTTCTTCAACATTTCATCACGTCACGCATCTTCGTCACGGTAGTTTGCACTGATGTAACGTAATTCCGATAATTATCCGAAGGAACTAACATTCGCGTTATGTTTATATGCTGTTTATGTCACATTTCCGCCTTTTAACCATAACCTGAGCCTAAGTATCCAATCCTTTGTTCCACTGCGTTGCGTTTACTGAACCCCCATTACTACCGCTGTTCGAACTTCACCGGATTTACTTACATCCGTTTGCCAGTATTCACCTATTCGTAAGTCATTTCTGTATCTGAGTTTAAATTCTTGCAGAACCACGGTTCATTCAGTACAAATTATTCCGCCCACCGCCCTCATATTTAACCGCCCAGACCGTGCGTACGTTTGGTTATTAGACTTGTCAATCGGCAGTACCGATCGGAGCTACATGGAAGATGTCAACATAATCACAGTCATCATCAAGATCACACATTAGCTGAAGGCGAGAAACACCCTACAACTATCGGGTTTAAATACAAAAAGATAAGGTGCAGAAAAAGTGAGATGCTGAAGATCATAGAACTCAAAAAAAACAGGCGACAGACTACATAGTAACATATTATGCGTTTAGAGATTGTGGTGGGAGGGGGAAGATAAGTGGGGACGGGGAGAGACAAGCAAACTCACAACACAAACGTCATTGAGGTCAGCTCCTTGCTATGTCAACCAGTGAATCCAACCAAACGTGTTCATCGCTCTTCGGACCTGAGCCAGGCAGTTGGGACACACTACAACTTCGAAGTGAGGGATTTCATTTCTCTTGACCAAGTCATCGATTGGTCTCCCCTTCTAACCGCATCTCTGGCGCGTAAACAACACACGACGCGGTAGTCGGTGTGTTGGTAAGCCCAACATGTGGCCCAGCCATCGGACCCTAGAGCGTGATATAACGGTGCCGAGCTGTTCCCTCGCTTTTCCTGCACCAAATACGCGGCGCCGAACACATCCATTACTCATGCGGTGCTCTCACCAGATATGAGATAATCTGCGAAGGTAGGGATGACCGAACGTGACTAGCCTATTTATGTCTGTTGACTTGATGCGCCGTGTAGAGAACGTTGCATTCCAATAGTGTTATTGACAGACACGCAGTTGCCCAGGTGGACGAAGCAATCCACGTGTTCATGCTCTGTATCCTCAAGAGTGAGCATGGGAACAGATGAGTGCCAACCCTTTACACTTCGATAGAGCGAAGCACATTAAGTAACTAGATGTGCCAAATACCAAACGGTTCAGAATGGTTTGAATATTATGCCAGTCGTCACCGAGTAACGCTCATCCTAGGAAGAAGGCACCTTTTCTTCATGCTAGATTTCGGAGAACAATGAGGTTGACTGGATGGTGATTACTGCACCGCTATGACTGAACAGCTCCGGAGACAGTCCGTTTGAGGCGACAGCCCACATTTGCTTTGAGTGTTGTATCGCAAGGCAAGCTTCCGGTTCGCTGGGCGGATCAAGTGTGACAATTCATGGCAGATAGCTAGGTTCACAGAGTATACAAGTGGGCGGTGAGGGCCAACTGAACTGGGAATGAAAATGATCGGCCCATCGACCCAAGCGTCCCCATAGATTAGTGATCGGCGAACCATCCGCTTCGCAAATAGACTCACAAACCCCAAGATTCCTGAGAAGAGTAGGTCGAATGGAATGGAAGGGCTTGCGAATGTTGTCAGGTTGGGCAGGGGCATCAATTTTCGAAGCACGCTGAGACTAGCAGGCTTCAAGATCACTGCGTGAGCTTTGTTTGAGCTGCCGATTGACAAAACGACGCACTGCATTATGATTAGACTCCGTTAGGATAGTATTTCGGCGGTCACCTAGATCCAAGAAGTGTGTGGAGATCCATGCCTTCAGAGGACGTTGAATAACATCATAGACTGACTGTCCTCTGCATGAACGTCCAGTGTTCATCAATGTCTCGCGGTAGGTCGCAGCTGAGAGCACCGACCAGGTAAAAGTGATAGTTCAGCTGGACCGAGAGAGTAGATAGTTTACTTGTAGCCACCTTATGGTGCTTCGATTTCGCGACCCTCCGGAACGCATCCGTATGTTCGGATAGACTAGCGCTTAGTGTGAAGCAATAAACGTGGACAAGATCGATCTACAACAGCGGTTCCCAACTTAGGAGTAATTACTCTCAAGGGGGTAAAATGGTATTTTACGGGGGGTAAACATAACTGAGAGGATGGGGTCATCAGTCAGTCGCAAAACAAGCTTAACAAAGTCATATGTATGAACACCATTAACAAACCATATAATCACTATTAACTAGCCATCAGTCACTAATCCTTAGTGGTCAGCGAATTAGACAATTTTTAATAATAGACTTTATTATCAAATCTACGAATGCAAGACTGTGAAGCAGCACCTCTATTAGCTCGCACGTTAATCGTTGTTCTTCTGAGTCAAGCAGTCGTTCGCTGGATCGAATTGAATAGTTGAAGGAACACTACAGATTAGGTATAGGAGCGACCGCATGTTTACAAGGTAGTAGGGATGACATAGGCGATTGGTGTACAAGACGTATCGATACAGAGCGATGGTGGGATCCTGTTATCCAGAACGGTGTTGACCAGCGATCACACACAAAAGCAAGAAAGCGAAAAAAATTGGGGCACAGCGTACGATGTGCGTTAGCGGAACCCGCATTAAGTATGCCATAAATTTTTGGAACCATGAAATGTCCAACGTCTGAGTAACTTACATCACCTCTCGTTTAAAAAAACGTTGCACAAAACAGGTGTTTTCTTTATGTGAATGAGAACGCAAATAAATATAATATTCATTATCGGTGAAGTAAAGCAAAAATGCAATAATTAAGTGGTTTTTTAAACTGTAACACATTTTGGGGGTAATTAAGTATAGTGAACTCGTTTTGAGGGTAACAACCTCTACAGTATATAGTCATGTTACGCAAAAGAGAATGACTGCGTGCTTTGAAAACAACAGCGTACGTATGCTGTAGGTCAACGAAGGCGTACCTGAGTCGTGAGAAGATGGATGGTCCGTAGTATTCGCAACCATTGGTGTGGGTGGGCATAAGGATGCCGATGGAGGAGTGCCAAGGGAATCAATATCGCCGAAACACACTGCATCAGCCAGATCACTGATAAAAAGCGAAAGATAAAGTGAATGTCGATGAAAAGAAAGCGGAACAGTTGGGAGGATAATGCGGACACTGAGTGGATGACATAGCTTGCGAGGTATGTAATAATAATAATAATGCCAATAATAATAGGGTATATTTCTCGTGGTACCGAGAAACCAAGCCCAGGTAGGGACGGACCAATTGAGCAGGAAATCAAGTTAACATTAGATTTAACTGAAAGGACAGAACGTGGAGGAGATGACGATACAACCGCAACCAAAGGAACTACGCGATAAGGAGTTTACCCTGAGTGTACTAAGGTGCAGGGTAAATCTGTGGTCTAACTTTTTCCTTATCATATATGCTATCCTGTGGAATAAGCTCCCAGTCACAACCCGATCGCATGAGAGCGCAACGGCCTTTCGCGTTTACCTTAACAAGTACCTAGATTTGAACATGATTATGACCCTGTTCTCTTGGGAAGGATCACTTGATGATTTGTACCAAGAAGAGCCAGACAACATCTAATGAGTGAAACAAAAAATGTTTCATACTATGTGACACACTCCTACCATCCACTATTCCAATTAGTGCTTATTGAGTCGAAACACACCTGGTAATACAAGTCCTTGAAACAGAAAAACAATGAAAATCACATAACTGTTTGCCAATCCTTCATGAGCATAACATATTTTGTAAGATATGGTCTGTGCCAAGATATGGCCACAGTTTCCCGCTCGATGAGAAATATACCTATTATTATTATTATTGTTATAGCGGAAAATGGTAGCTGTGGCAAACTGTTACATATCGGACCGTTGTCCCAAGCGCTGCTCGCACAAGCGGAAATACCAACAAAAGTCCGCGACCAAACAGCTCGAGACCCAACAAAACAATTCAAACGGAGACAAAAACAGCCGCCATTTAACAGAAAATAATACAACACGCCAAGGATGTCGATAAAACCTAAATGGCATTGTGAACGAGGCCAGTCATCCATGTAATGTTTTACAATCCCATTTTCCTTCAAGATGAAATGATGCTCCTGTCGTGGAGCATCAGATGAGCAGCTATCGAAATGTGCTCAGGTGCGTTGCTGCTCCACGTCATACGCTAAATCTTCTTCTTTCTGCGCGATTCCGGTTGAAGCAATTTCGTTATCTGCAAGAAACAAATCCAAGCCAAAAAACAGAAGTCAAAGAGTTGACACTAAACTGTGTTGAAAGACCGGCCACGGAAAAGAACATAAACGGTGTAAATACCAAAGGATATTTATACGTCGACATAAGAATACGCAAGTTCCAAACGGGCTGGAACAGCTGCCAAAATTGGTAGTTTAATTCCGCTCGGACCAATGAGGAGGTACTGTATGTCACGTGACAGATTCGGGACTTTACCTAACGTTTTTGGTTCAAGTCGGTTTGGTGCTGAACTATTACGATTTACTTCATCCCGGATATCGTCAAAAGAAAAACAAAGACAGTGAATAATGACGAAACAAGAGAAATGGATAAGAAATTTATAGTCATTAGAGAAGTGGCAAAATGTTGGGACATGGGAACATGCCTAGAATAAAAGATGTATTTATTTATGTAAATATATCATATCCGGTCTGTCACGTAATCGTTATGTTAACTCGCGACGTCACGATTCACAAAGATAACGATGACATTCGTATACTCAGTATGTCAGTAGGTCTCCAACGGAACTGGTTCCCAAAAGAGATTGGAAGACAGCAGACCAAAGTCATGGATTCTCATCCAGATTAGAGAAAGTTAGAGAGAAACGGGAGCACAGTGTCATACTGACGCGGTGAACTCAGGGGACAAATGCACAGAAACTGTGCGGCCATAGGAATCGTGTTATAAGGAGCTACACCACTAAGCACAAGTGCAAGTAACGGAGACAAAGGAAGCCCTCAAGTACAGGGAGACTCTGGGGACAACCAGTGTACAAGTGTCGGGATAACCGATCACCGGATGAAGCGTTACAGTTTGATCAATACATACTCGCAGTCGGGATACAAAATAGCCAGACTTTCACTGATTCACGAGGAAACAGTGAGGCGCAGAGACAGAATATGCGAGCGGAACGAGAAGAGCATATAATCAGGATGAATTTCACAATACATCCGTTCAGTTCAACATACATGTATAGGGAAAAGGACTGTGGCGGGTCCAGTTACCACGAATTGAGTCGGCAGGACAACAATAATTAGCAATGTGGTACGAAGCAAGCGAAAAACAGCAAATGTGAGCAAAATTTAACAGCGTTGGGAATTGGAAGCAAGAGATGAGAAATGGAATTTAGTGCGCCATTTTCTTCGCGACCACAGCACAAGGATTTTAACTGCTGGTGTGGCACACCGACGGAGGCGATAATTATTATTCTGATCAAGTCTCAGTGAACATCTATACGCCAAAAGCACCAGATCCAACGTCAGTGATATGGATATGAGAATTCCGGCCCAGGGGAACTGCCGCCAAGTGAAAGATGAGCAATTCGATGAGAGCGCTTGTGTTGAAAAGCTGTGCTGCATAGTGATTGAGGCGAAACTCAAAACACGGTCATCATTGTCGATAAGACTACCATCAGTTCCGAAACGACACACCAGACGATGTGCTGACTACGATAGGCAACCCAATTGGGCGGTCGTATCAACCGCGATGACCACCATATCCGCAATGTTGACGAATCGAATAAGAAAAAACAGTTTCTCATAGAATACGTAATAGACGGCCTCAGAACTACAGCTCATGTGCTCAGAAGCCGAGGCAATAACCGGCACCATGTCCGGAACTACAGAGTCAACTCGCCGATATGCGGCTGTTCGCTGAGAAAGAGATCGTGAATGCCGCGAGCCACGAAGTTGTCACCACCGACGATCCGAACTGGCATTGAGTGACTTAGGAACTGGGGTCTTACAACAGCAGATGCAGCTGCGTGTCATCTGTGTATGTTTCGGAGACACAGTACACATCAGATCCAGGAAATTGTCCTCAGTAAGACAATTATCTGTGGATCGATTCGACATATTGAGTGGACGTCGTAGAATTTTATGTGGAACAGTGCCCTAGGTCTAAGGAATGTACTGGCTGCCTCGCTAGTGTAGTTGACGAAGGCAGAATCAGCCACTTAGTAATTAGGTGTTCATTTTGAACCACATGTGCGAATGGTCTGTGACGCACAACCTCAAGCTGGACCGGAGTGCAATTCGAAGTGAAGCTGATTCGATTCGGTCACTGGGATCACGTCTGTAAGCCGCCCTGGGTTGCATATTGTGTGCTATCCTCCCGAAAACGCTGCACTTGATATGACCTTAACTGGTAGAGATAGCAGGCCTCGAATCCTCGACTATTGGGATAGTAGCCGAAACCTCTACCCCTTTGATTACCGGGTCACGACGAGCGGAGCTTGGCACAACGGCTAATTATTGATTGGTGGATCATTTTGAAGCACTCCTTGTGTGTGAATAGAATGCGACGCGCATTTCCAATGTGGACCATGATTCACATTGAAGTGAAGCGGCCATCGTACTCCTACTAGCCAGAAAACTTTTGGAAAAGTTTCGTCTGATGTGACTCAGTGACCTGAGGAGCGAATGCTTCAACTGGTAGCTCCGAGTTCCAATCGCAGTCTTCACAGCTCTACCCGATGAGTGCATCAAAGTGCGAAAAAGATGGCCTAGTGCAACTTATCAATCTCCACGTGCATCGCATGAGAAGATAAGAATCCAAAATGGAGAAAACAACAGATCAACGGTAACGGAAGCATGTGCGTAGAGGAAACTCTCCAGTGTCCCATTCCCAGAGGTAGGTTGTCTGAAGTTTCTCATTTACAACTTCTTTATCTCAGTAGATGGCTCCACATGGCAGTTGGGAGCATGTCAGACTATATAGAGGATGACCACCATGTGGTTTGGAACAACGTTAGACCCATAGAATGCAGTAGAAAAGGATAGAGAAGTAGTTACGCGATCGGCCGCAGTATATCATACACCTGCGGCTACAGTAGACTGCAAGTGACCCTGTTAGTGTCTGATATGAGTCAGTCAGTAGCAAGCCAATGGCAAGGGGGCTGCATTTCCTCACCGTTAAAGACAACCTGTAGCAATTGTAATCTACGATAAAAGCACTAAACCTATATACCGTGTGTAATGTTTTCATGTATGGCTAAATCTCGAAGAAAGTCAGCCTAACAATATCAGGAGCTTAGTACGAGTTCATCACAGCATATGTTGCGTGAGGGATCATAATCACGGGCCAACAAGCGCAGTAATTGTGACTTCCAACAGAAAAGAACTATGACAAGATTAGGGACAAATGTGAAGCAAAAACGTTGCTAACAATTGGGACCAACAACCAATAAGGCACAACAATGTAGAAATGAGTGTGAGGTTGTGCAACAACAGGAAAAGTGGATCATTGTAACGCGACTGCGCGGGTCACCATAATATACTCACTCATGTTCGCTTAACTTGTTCGAACAAGTAGCTTACGTCACTGCAAAAACCAGACAGAGCATTTAAA